CTCAAATTATGTGTACATTCACTACATTGGCAATGCCTTTTATAGGCAAATTTGCCAACACAATATACACCAATAATGCTCATCCCATACCCATTATTGTTCATTTAACTATTCTCATTTATTACAAATAGTGAAATATCACTATTGAGGCATAGTGGTTTGTTCCACTTGTTTCTAACATATTCAACTTTATAATAGCTAATACTTCAAAACATAAATTAATGTGAATTATTGTGATATTTTTAATCTGTATGAAATTTAATGATAGTTTTTATTATTTCTAAATATAATATTCATTTATATCTTTTGTTTGCAACATCATAATAACATGCATTCAGCCTCTTTGTTAATATCAATTGTAATATAATCAGACTTAAAAACAATTAAAAAAATTCAAATCAAATTTATGGAGCTGTATATAATATGTATTCATTATATATATAATGTACTATTTATTCAATATATATAATATATATAGTATTTATTCAATATATATACACATAGATGTTACAAACCAAATTATCATTTTGATAAATAGAGCATAAAACATATGTATTATTAGTCAACTGTGCTAATTCTTTAGTTATTGGTTGTATTATTATTATTGTTATTATGAGAATATGAACTTTTTTACTTTTTTCTTTCAATTAATACAAGTATTTTTATCATGGACTCTTGTAGTGCACGTGTATCTTACTACTATACAAATTCCATTGGAAAAGTGGGTTGCGGACAATAAAAATAGCTGGCGAATTAGAGTGTTATTCGAACCGAAACGGGCTGAGTAGTCGAGCTCGTTTACCAAATGGCACATCTCGGCTCTGCACGAGTTCAAATCGTAAAAGTCTAACTCGACTCATTTAATAAAGTTAAAACCTTAAAAGAAAGCAAACATACAATTGCCGTTCAAACAAGTTCAATTCGGATATATCATTTAATTTTAACTCATAAAAGAAAAGAATGAGTTGTTTGTGAGCAAGCTTGAGTAGTGGCATACGAGTTATATTAGATGTTCGAGTTCGACTTATTTGAGTAATAAACGAGTCGAGCTCCAACTTTGGGCGGACCGAACAACTCTATTCGAATAACGGAACGATGCTTGCAAATAATACAAACGAGGCTATACTGCAATGTAACAAAAAGTTGCATTTGTGAACAATAATTAAAAATACAAAGATGCGCATATAGGTGAGAGAAAACAAAGAAATTCCATTCTGGTTTGTGATTGGAGCATAATTCTTCTCCTTTTGCCTGGTTAAAAGATGCTCAATTTCTGTGCCCACAAGAAAAATAAATAAAAATATATTGTACAAATGGTGGAAAAGTACCAAATCCTTCTAATTTACCAATTAGTTTTACTCGGAAAAATCCCCTTCACGACGACCCCGAAATTCGCGGCGAGGTCACCGGAAACAGCGGCAGCAGCTTCGGCTCGGCATCCCCCGCCGCTACGGCCCTCGGCGACGGATGGAAGTAGAATTTCTTCTCGGCGATCGCCCTGTCCTCGGGAGACGGCGCATCCTCGCTCGCCGGACTCAGGGCCAGCCCCGGAAAATCTAGCATGCTCGGCGACAGGAGCTCGGGCTTGCGCGGCGAGGGCATCGGGCCGCGGTGGGGGCCCGGCCCGATTGTGTCGATCATGAGGCCGTTCTTGAGGTTGTTCCTCCTCTCGTAGAGCCTGAACCCCTGCCTCTTCTGTCCGGCGGTCTTGGCCGGCGGTATGCCGCTGGCGACCCTGGAGGGCGGCCTGGCGGCGGTGAGCATCTGCACCACCTGCTTGAAGGTGGCGGCGTCGGCCTGGACGAAAGTGGTGGAGCAGTTATTGGTGGCGGCGTCGTTAGATCTGGGGTTGGAGGAGGGGGTGAGGGGCGGCGGCGCCGGCTGTCCATTGCAATTGGCTGTGGTGACTCTCTCTGCCGGCAGATTTAGTGAGGCGGTTTCCATTTTTCTTTTCACTGTTATTAATATTGAATTTCACCTGAGAGAGAGAGAGAGAGAGAGAGAGAGAGAGAGAGAAAGCGGCTTTTGTAGGGTTGGGTTTGAGTGGAGAAGAAGAGTTGAATTAAGTTGAACAAACAGAAAAAAAGAGCAGGTTGGTTTTTATTGTTTTGCTTTCTGTTCTCTTCTGTTTTTTTTTTTTTTTTTTTTTNTTTTTTTCGCTTGGGCGCAATAATCATTTATTATTTGGGAAATATACGGTCTCGTTACGAAATCATTCCGTCGTAATTTGTAACCATTAAATCATCATGTAATGATTGGAGATAGTTGATCTGACGGTTACAAACTACAACCAAATAATTTCGTGAATGTAGTATCTCCCCATTTCTTTATCCTCTCATTCATTCTTTTTACTTTTTAAAGTTTTTATTTATTCTTTGAAGTGAAGTTGACAATTAAATTGGAAAGAATAAAAAAATAATAATTATAAATTGAAGTGAAGGTGGTTATTTATTTTGTAATTTTGACTTTTTCTTTTGGAATTATTTTTTCAAAAATTCAAATTGAAGCCTTTATTAAAGATTTGAAAATCGTGCAGAGAATAATGTTTAGGAGTTGCTATTTCTTGAAGCATTAAAACACCTCCATTTTAGTCTTCCTTGATCACATCAGGAAAACTGTTAAAAAAAATACTTTTACTTTCTTAAAGTGAAAGTTTTATGCTTTTCAAATTAAATCAAGCCTTTTTGGAGGTCAAACTTGGGATCACACATACCTTCATTTACCTACTCTAACTCTAATAAGAATTAAAGTAAAGTTTCATCTAACGCATGAAAAATTATTTTAGTGTATAGAAAAAAAGACTAATTTACTTTATATATATATATAGGAGATGCTACGGTTCTGTTATGAAATCATTCCGTCGATATTTGTAACCATTAGATCAACTATATCCAACGATTACATGAGGATCTAACGATTATAACCTCCAACAGAATGATTCCGTAACGCGACGTAACATTTCTCTATATATGTACATATATTTATTAGGTGACAGTTCTGATTGGGAGGCAGAATAAGTGAATCCTAGTCCGACCGGCCACGGCTGACCTATTATATATTGTTTTCCCCCATAATTAGTTCTTTGTTGCACTTACAACTCACCACCATTAAACCAAATTCAGTTCCCATTATTAATTAAACTCTCACTTCATTTAAAATTACTAGTAGGCCACTTTTAAGTGGTGATTGTTTATTAACAAAAAATAAAATAAAATTCAAATTTAAATCTAACTCAAGTTTAATCCAACTACATTATTTCTAATATTATCAATATAATTAAATAACATCAACCAATCATTCTTACACGTCACATCAATTTTTATTCACTATTTCTGCCAAAAGTTAGGGGAGCAAGAGTGTCACGATATAAAAAGAGAAATCAATAAATGACTGGTCGGAACCAACAATTCTCTCTTATAGAAAAACCTATATCATCCACGCTTAATCAGCGTTTGATAGATTATCCAACCTGAGCAATCTTAGTTATTGGTGGAGCTTCGGTTCGTTAGCTGGTCTTTGTTTAGTCACTCAGATAGTGACGAATGTTTTTTAGCTATGCATTACACACGACATCACAGAATTTTAACTAATCATCACTTCCAATTATTTTTCTCTACGTTTACATTAAACCAACTTTAATTATTTTATTTTAAATAATATTTTAATTTGAACTTAAATACACACTAACAGGGGCGTAGCCAGAAAGAAAAATCATACTGGGCTAGATGGACTTAAATATATTTGACCTGGGCTAGTAAGTAAAAAATGGGCTAAATTTTTTTTTTTTTTGTTTTTTTAATTTTTGGAACCAGACTGGGCTGGAGCCCACCCCAGCCTTTGGGGTGGCTCCGCCCCTGCACACTAACAACTAACGATACCACCTTTCTAAAAAATAACTATGGATAAAAAAATTCAATTAAAAATTAATTCAATCCATATCCAATCACACCCTAATTTATTTTTAATTTTTTAGTCTTTATATATATACACATTGATTTTATATTTTTATGTATGATGGATCCCATAAGTAAAAAATAACTGGAAATATTGCATTTAATATCAAACTTAAAACTTCCTCTCTGTCCCCATTATATATATATAGAGAGAGTTTCTCAAGGCCTTAAATGTCAATTTTGGTGGTTAGTAAGTTGTAATCCTATTTGTTTATTTATTTTGTTTTGTATTTAACTATTTTATGTGTCAATTTCTGGTTTAACTATCACCAGATAATGCACGTCCGAAACTGCCTAGCTACCAGAGAGAAAAATAAAAATAATATATATATATATATATATATATATATATATATATATATATATTCAGAATTTCCAATATCTTCGTTGTTAATTAATGTTGTTGTTAATAACTGTAATTCCACAAATTTTCATGTTTGGTGAGAAAAAAGAAATATATATATATCTGCAGGATTTGCAAGATTCTCATTGTTAATGCTGTGGTTATATATAATAACTGCAATTCTACCAATTTTATTTATTTATTTATTCAGCAAGCATTATTCTTCTTATTTTAAACAAAAAAATAATAAACGCGTGTGGGTTGGCTAAAACACGCGTAGCTATATATATATATATATATATAGAAAATACTTTCAAATACCGAACCAAAGTCAATTGTATTAATTTAATTTTCTTGATCCGAAATAATAATGATGAGATTAAGATCTTCTTCTTCGTGTGCTAACGATAATAATCATATTTAGTGAAAAAGATCAACGTACAAAAGGAACAACGAGAAGGTTTTTAATATATAATTAGAAATTATGCTAATTGGTGCCATATTTTATTTAGCACATGAAAAGAAACACGGGACTCTATCATTCAATTTGTTTGAACTTTTCTAGGTCATGCAGTCATATCAAGTCAAACAATCATTAATAATTAGAGATGGCCAGTCAACGGCCGGGCGACGGCCCGGACCAGGCCAGCGGGACTCCCATAGGTGACCCTTAACCGTCCCCCAAAAACCAAGGTCGGGCCCGTGAACCGGCCTGCCGGGACAAAAAATAGAAAAATCTGACGCGGACACAACCCGTAAAGCCACGATGACAGTTTTCGGAAACGGCAACCTATGGGCCGGTTGCGGACCGGGCCGGGACCACGGGCAGGGCCGGGCCATGTCCATGTCTATTTATAACAGACAATAGATAATATATGAACGATTTTTTATTTTTCTTTTGAAGATTGTAAAATAGTATGAAAATGAAGAAAGTTTCTCTCACAAATAAAAATAATAAGATGAACGTTTTTCTCTCTTAGATGAGCATACCCATCGTCCATGAAAAAGACAATATATATGAAGAAAACCTTTCACCATACACAAATTCAACAACTTATTCTTCATGTATGAAAAGATTACACTCTAATGAAATTCTTTCCATAACTACAAAGATCTCATTTCAACATTTTCTTCACCTAGACATCGTCAAGTGCTAGAGGAAAAGATCGCCTAACTATAAAGTTAGGGACACGATCCACAAAAACTAATGAAAGCTAGAATATCACACGTCATAAATAACGTACAAGCTCGACTGCAAACTTTCCTTTTCTTGTAGAGCTTATTTCTCCAATCTGCAAAAATAAGGTGTCTATCTGGTTAGAAGGGCAAGCCACTTTGTAGATTAGTATATATCAGTCTGATGAATATTTAAATATTTTTGTTATTTGAAATGTTAAAATGATTTTTTCTTTTTAGAAAAGCAAGTAGTGCCGGAAGGTGATGGGAGAAAAAGAAAAACATTGATAGCAATGAGGATAGAATGGCATAACGAGAGGAATTCAGATTTATATAGTAAGGAATAACAGGTAAATTGTTCTACTGAAAACGAAAACCGTGATATCACTCGAGATGTTTTTAGGCAAAAGTAGTGAAATCTGGATTTTAACCGAATTTCCGGACAAATTATCATAAGCTATGGTAGCTTTGGCAAGGACAAATACTTATAAATTCAACTTGAAACTTGAAAATGCACGGGAAAGAAAAGCATATATAATGTACCATAGCAAAAGAAATGACACACCTTAAGTCTTCCCTTCCCGCTAACGGAGATGATGTCACCTGTCCTCAGAGTAGTGTTGTTTTTCATCACAGTAGCCCAGTTGACACGCACATCTCCTTTGCTAGATGCAAAATTTGGAAAGAAGAAATAAGTAAAAGAAAAAGAAGAAACAAAGAGAGAGAAGGAAGTCCGGTCAATTGCTTGTGCCACTGACTGGAAAAATACAACATTTATATGAAAATGTTGCTTGCTAGGAAAACAAGGAATGCTTCAACTTATTTTAGAGCTCTTAATACTTAATAGTTGGAGGCTTAGAGCAAGTTATGATCAGGATTTTCTCACATGGTCAGTACAAACTCCTTGCCTTTTCTCAGCATGATGATTCGCAACAGTATTTGAAAGTAAAATGAAAACAAAAAAGTAGTTAAAAGGTCATTGAATGTTTTAGTTGCAGATAGAAAGTATCCTATGAATACTCCAAGGTTGCATTCGAGCGGAAGGATTTGAAAGCGCTACAGATAAAATGAATTTGAAATCCAGCACAACTCGGAAAGCAACTCGAATAAGGAGTTATGGATTTGGAATTCCACTATTATAGATATGATCTTAATTCAAACAACCTCAATTGGCTTGCTATTATGGAAAGGACAAATCTTTGGTTCAAATCCCATGCAAATTGAACGGGACCCAATTGGAAATAGTGAATTGTTCAGTCTAAATGGTGCCATAAGCATACCAAATGTATCAGCAAAAAAGGGAAGTGAATATCTCATACAGTTAAAATGTCAAGATAATGTTATAGGCCATAACGATAAAAGACAATAAGATGGATTCATTAATTGAAGGACATCAAAATCTTGAAAAGGTAGATAGAACCATTTCATTCAGCAGCAAAAATCAACAATGGGTGCATTCTTGGCAAGCTACTTTAGAACTTCAACTAACAAATTGAATTAAAACGAGAACATCCTCATATCAATTCTTCTTCCTTGATGTCAGTACACAAAAAATCATTGATATGTATTGGCAGCTTATGTAAGGTCCCAATTTAATGAACTTTCTTTCACCAGCCCAAAATTCTTGGTGCAAATAGTCTTCTTTTCATTTTTGCTAATAATTTTAACATTTGAGAAAAAATAATACTTTTAGGGAAAGTGGTAGATGGAGCATGACATGGCATACCTTATCAAATCAGCCATTTTCGATCGTGAAATTTTGAAACCAGCACTAGCTATAGAATCAAGTCTTATTGATGCTTCAACAGTTTTCATGGTCTTGGTCCTGCAAGGATCAAAGAACATAGAACCTCTGTTTATAATGACAGATCTTAAAGGTTATTTGATATGTTAAAAGAAAAATACAGTAATGACCTCGGGGGCTGGTATTCAAGAGCAAGCAATGGAATCTTTTCACAGGTAACAGAAACATTCCTTACCTAAAATATTACAGCACAGCAGAAAAGAAATCATTATTTTAATTTATATGCAACAAAATAAAAATAAGTGCATGACTGGTCCCTCAAACATTCTTACTCAAGTCTTATTTCGTATTAGAACATAAGCTCATTTTATTTCATGTAAACTCCTTCCTAATCAAGATTCCAAACCATGAAGCAATTTTCCGCTATAGCCATGTCATGAACATCCTTTGAATATGTGGTTTGGTTCTGACTCGGGAAATTTAACAATATATTTGCCAGATGAAGACTGAAGAAAAAGTTTTTCTCATTTTAGAAATAAAATTTTACTAAAGACGGGGAGAGCAAATCCATAACAAGTCTCCATTTGGCTGCTCAGACACAAATAGTTCTATGCATAGGACCATGTAGAATAACACGCCTACCTTGTCCAATGACGAGACAAGGAAGCCAACAAGTTCTGGAACAATAAGAACATGTGCCCCCTTTTCTCCCTACAACAGAAGTAATAACAGTTCACACACCACAAAAACTGAAGATCAATATACGATAGCTCTACTCAATATCCACTGTTTAGTAAAAGATCTGCATGATAAAAATAAAGCATCTTATGAACAAATGAGAAGTACCAATTTGGAAAAACAATATTCCTGTTTGAAGTTTCCATAGGTGCACTAACATACCTAAAAGTAAGAATATGCCAAATAATTGAAATGAAAAGCTAAAAGTATATCAAGAATGGAGGATCTACTGAAAAATCATACCTGCAATATAATGTCTCCCAGCTTATCCCTCACAATCCCAGTGCCAAGGATTGCCCCAAGGAAGTCACCATGAGAACATGATTCAAAACTAAAGTTCCCTGAGATACTGCCACAAGGAACCACCTCACCATGAGAAACGACGTAAGCTTTTATATTTCAGTACACAGAAAACGTTTCTTTAGGTATGTGGAACTAATATTGACCTTAGTGCTGCAATAATATCCGGATCAGATGTCAATATGTCTGGATGTCCAACTGACAGCCGGCAACGCTCGGCCTTGAAATTTTTCGGATGGAAAGTCTTTTTAATGGCAAGATAAGTTAAAATGTTACAGAATCAAGAAAAAAGAGACGTTATAGAATCTTGACCTCTGGATATCCTCCCTGAACTACCATTTTGATGTCCGTAAACTTCTCTAATGCTTGCATCGATTCTTTCAATACAGGTGGTGTGAGAAAGTCGGTATGTAAAACTTCCCGCCTCAATGACGCCCGATTTGCCTAAGAAACACGGTAAGCCATTAACTTACAACCCAAAGTTAGAAAGTACAAAAGTATATAAATAAATCAAGATAAAGAAGAAACAAAAAGAAAGGGGAAATGGCGTGCACAGCATGTACAGGCAATACTGCTATAACGAATAACTAGAAAACGATATGTACCATATCAAGAATTCTCTTGACATCCTCAATTGTATCCTTGTTCCCAACTCCTCTGACCAAAACATCGGCTAAACCTTTTACAGCACTCACTGGGTGGCAAATGCCCAAAGCTGAGCATCAACAACTGTGAAAGTCACCAACCATAACTGTAAAAATATTTTGCACCAAGCTAGTTTTACAAAACCTGCCCGAGGAAAACTAAAGTGGGCATCGAGCATCATCGTTTTTGGTTCACGTCAAATAGCAGAACCAAGACAGCAAATGTATTAACTGATTCACAACGAGATAATCACACGCAGCAGTTGATCGGCTAAATATGCATTTCCAGTTTCTTTATTGTGGTTTAATCCTTGCACAAATGTACAAATATAATAACCAGTGACAAATTGACACCAATCACTTGCATTTTTTCCATCCATTACACCTGCCTCGAATTACTGAACCAAAATCCCACAACCCAATATTCAAGAATCTTACAACATACGGACGGCTCCATAGATAGAAAACAAACGAAGTGATAATTTTTCCTCAATCAGTGAAATTCATAAGGGAAAAGGGATGGTGAAACATACATACAATTGTACAAATGAACAGACATTGAATGTAAACAACGGACCTGAAGATGTGAAAGGGGCGGAAAGGGGGAGGATTCTGAGGCCACCGAGCTTTGTTGTGAGGCTTGCGGAACGACGGGCGGGTTGAATAAATGAGTGGACTGCCGTACGAATGAAAGCTTGTGAAGCTAAGCTAGTGGCTGCCATGGCCGATCATCATTGTACCACGCGGGCTTCTCGTCTTTAATATTTTCAAGGCCCAAGCGGGCCTGGGTCATTTGCGGGTCTATGACTCTTAATTTAACTTGGTCGTGTACGCAAAGCTAATTGGGGCGGAATGTATTTGTATTATAGAATTTATTACGCTAAGTGAGTTAATTTGAAATAAAGTTGATTTAGTAGAAAATTGAGTGAGATATTGTTTTTTGTATTTAAATTAAGAGAATTTAGAATTGAGTGAGATATTGTTTATGCAAAGCTAATATTGTTTTTGTAATTAAGAGAAAACGGTTGAAAGTGATTAGTTAAAAACATTGAATGGAGGAATGGTAAATTAAAGTTGTGAAAATAATTAATTGTTATTATTTAATTATATTGATATTATTGTGAATAACTAGTTTGAATAAATTTGAGTTGAGTTTGAATTTAAAAGTTATAAAGTTATGATTAATCAAAACCAAGTAATTTTTATAGCCTCGAGGATAAAACAAAAGAAAGAATTAAAATTTTTTTTTATCTCACATACATTTGAAAATATTGTCAGTAATTCAGTCTTGGTTTTCAAAAACAACAAAAGAAAAACGTTTCAATTACAGAATAAAGGCAGCGAATCACCGCAACAATTGTAGTTAGATGAAATAGCTATTTCCACCTCACTCTGAAGAAAGAATAAGTTTTATACACCGTCAAATAAAAAGTTAAAATTTTTTTCACCCTATAAAATGCATGGTTCTGAAAACCGAACCGGTGAAGCTACTAGTACAATGGTTCATTGGTCGGATCAACGGTCGAACCGTTTTAATTGATATGTAATTTTTTATTTATTTTAAATGTATACTATATAATTATATATATTTATTATTAATTTTATAGTATATGACATTTGTCTAAATAAGAGTTCAATAATATATACAACCGAAAATGTTGAAAATGTTGTTAACTTTTTTTCTTATTTTAGTTTTATATTTAAAATTTTATTCTGTAATTAATTTACAAAATAGAGAGAATAGAAACAACTCAATTTTCATTTTAAATTGCATTTTAAATTTTTTATTTTTGATTGAAAAAAAAAACAAAAAATAACGTGCTTAACAAACAACAATAAAATACATTGCTTATTTTTTTTTTTAAAAAAAATGGGAATAAATATAACCCAATAGATAATCCACTTCAAATAACAATACATATTTGTAATGAGTACAAGTTTACTTGTTAGGCCCAATATTGACCCAACAACAAGAATACATATCCCACATAGGAAATACAAGTAAAAAAGGTGTGCTATTTAAACCACTTCACAATCTACCAAGTTCAAATTCTTAAGTTTGAACCGATGAACCATTCGAACCGGTTCAAACAGTTCTTCATCGGTTCTCCTGCATAGTGGTTTGAAGGCTCAAATCGGACTGGAATGAAGGTCGGTTCCTGATCCAACCGGTAGAACCGATCAGTCCAGTCCAATTTTCAGAACAATGATAAAATGTGAAGTGAATTATACGATAAGATATTCGACAGACAGAATGATAAAGTGCAAAATAATTATTCGATAGACAGAATGATAAAGTGCAAAATAATTATGTGATCAATTATGCGGCATACATATAAACTGCAAAATAATCATTCGATAAACTATGTTAGAAGCAAACAAACATAATTTATAAAGTGCAAAATAATTATGCGAAAATTATGCGACACACCGAAAATAATTGATAAAGTGCGAATTAGTTTTGCGATACGCTATGCGATAAACAAATGAACATAATTGATAAAGTGTGAAATATTATGCGAAAAGCTATGTGATAGACATAAAAAGATAATTGATAAAATGTGTAAATATTTAGACGATAAAATGCGAGAAACATGCTACATGCGACAGACAGACGAAGATAATTGATGTGAAAAGATATGCGACATACAAACGAAGATAATAGATAAAGTGTGAAACGTTATGCGAGAAGATATGCGACAAATAGTTGAAGATAATTGATAAGAGTGCAAAGTATTTATGCAAAACGATATGCGACAGACAGACGAAGACGATTGATAAAGTTAAAAAACATTACGCGACAAACTATGCAACAGACATACGAAAACAATTGATAAAACGCGAATTATTTATGCGAAATGATGTGCGACAGATAGAAGAAAATAATTGATAAAGTATGAAAATATTTATGCAGAAAAAATATGCGACAAAAAGTCGAAGATAATTGATAAAGTGTGAAATAGTTATGCGAAAAGTTATGCCACAATAGGTGAATATAACTGATGGAGTGTGAAATATTTATGCGAAAAGTTGTGCGAGAGACATACGAAGATAATTGATAGAGTGTGAAAACATTATGGAATACATTATGCTGACTAGGGGAATATAATTTATAGTGTAAAATAATTATGTGATAAACTATTCGACAATCAAGGGAAGACAATTTATGCAAAAAGCTGTGTGACAGACAAGAAAAGACAATTGATAAAGTGCGGAATATTACGCCAAAATATATGTTAAAATCATTCACCACATCCACCCAATTCTAAGAACACAATTCATTCTTTTCCTGCACAAAACTCCCACAATACAACATAATAATCCCAGTCCACTACAAACTACTCTAAAGAGATAATCTAGAATTAGACATCCTCCTTCCTATCTAAGTCTACACAAACACTCTCTTCCTCTTCCTCGTTGTTTTAATCTTTCATTCGGTGACTCATAGACAAACACTACTGGAACAACACTTTATCATATACACAATCATTTATCTATGGATAGATTAAATGCTTCTCATTCATGTTTCACTACTTCTATTAGTACTGTTCCAGAACCTAAAACTTTGTTAAAGACCATAACTGGCAAGAAGCAATGTATAAATAATTAGTTGCTCTAGAGAAAACCAATACATGGATTTTTATTGATTTGCCTCCTGGAAAGAATCGTATTGGCTGCAAATGAGTTTATAAAATTAAATATAATTAGATGATACTCTAAGTAGGTAAAAGCTAGACTAGTAGCAAAGAGTTACTCTTAAAAAAAAGGGATCGATTATTTTGATATATTTTCACATGTTGCTAAAATAACAACTGTTAAAGTATTATTAGCTATAGCCTATGTAAAAAAATCGGTTCTTATATCAATTAGATGTTAATAATGTCATTTTACATTGTGATCTTGGTGAGGATATATATACGACCCCACCGATATGCTGATGCTAATTCTTCTAAGGTCTACAAACTAGTTAAAAATCTACATGACCTTAAGCAAGCCTCGAGACAATTGTTTAATAAACTTACATCTTGCTTATTGAATTTTGGTTACTCTCTGTTGATTGTAGTTTGTTCATCAAATTTCCTTCTAGTTTTTTTATTGCATTGTTGGTTTATGTGGATGATATAATTCCAATTGGAAGTGATATGACTGAGATTGCAATAAAAACTCATTTGAATGATTGTTTTACAATTAAAGATTTAGGAAAACTGAAGTTGCTCAATCTGACAAAGACATTAACCTTTGCCAAAGAAAGTATGCTTTAGATATATTGACTGACATTGGTTATCTTGATTCTAAACCTGCAAACTCACCAATGGACTCTATTCTAAAACTTACGTCTGTTTGTACTGATAACTCTGAGTTAGTAGATGCAATTGCTTACGGAAACTTATAGGTATAAAAATTCTATGGAGCCATCGGATGGTTTTCTCATGGAGCCATCCACCACTTAATGTATTGACACCTGTCCTAATTGTATTTATTGTATGATACGTGTAAAATACACTATTGGTGAATAAGTGGGGATAGTTCCATAAGTCGAGCCATCCGATGGCTCCATAACAAAACTGCTTATAGGTAAGCTACTTTATTTTACAATTATTAGACCAGATATTTCTTATTCTATACAAGCACTTAGTTAACACATGATTTCACCTACACAACATCTTACAACAGCACATAGGGTGTTCAAATATCTAAAAACACAATTGGTCCAGGTATTTTCTATCCCAAAGATTCTCATTATCATTGCATGCATTTTCAGATAGTGATTTGACTAATTGAGATACTATGAGAAGAATAACTAGTTATGCACTTTTTCTTGGTTCTTCATTAGTTTCATGGAAATCTAAGAAGCAAAAGACGATCAGTAGATCTTCTGTCGAGTCTGAGAATAGAGCACTGGCATCCACCACATGCGAGGCACAATGGATGCTATATTTACTTGATGATATGCAAATTCCACATTCATTTCCCGTTACAAATTTTTCAGCTAGTAGAACTACAGTAGCATTAGCAAATAATCCAGTCCAACATGAGATAACAAAGCATATTGAGACTGATTGTCACCCATTTGAAAGAAACTCTCCAAACGCATCATTGGCTTGCAGTTTGTACCATGTCAAGAACAAGTTGCGGACATCCTCACAAAACCACTATGAATTCAAGCATTCAAACAAAATATCTTCAAGATGAACATGATGAATATTCATGCTCCAACAACCCTAAAGAAACAAGAACATCTACAGTACTCGAATAAAGAGCAGCAATAGTAAGGAACATAACAAGAAAAATAACCATAGTAACACCATAAACTAACATAATTGCTTAGATATTAAGAATGAGAGAAAATTACAATAGTGTACCTTTCATCACCGGTAAAAAGACTAATTGTTTTTGTATAAGCTATTGTACACAGGGAGCAAGGCCTGAGAAGAGACTGAAGACTTTTAATAACCTTCTTCCCTCTTTCCCAGAAGATTCCTCATTCCTCCCACTTTAAACCGAAACGAGCAGTCTAAAAGTCTAAATATATAAAGATGGATTATGATACATATGCATGTGACATGTCTATATATATATATATATGTATATATATATATAACCTCAGCTTGTTATCCCACATCTTCTAATATGTTCATTCGAAAAGTTTACATGTTTATTCCACAGACCTCTTAGAGCTGAGGACCCGATATCGAGCCATGGCTTTGCAGGCCCACTGAAGTGCACAACAGCTGCAGCTTCTAGCATTTGTTTGTCTGTTTGTGGGTACCGATAGCCCAAACCGGCTAGGTGCCATGAAGGATCAATACGTTGAACGTGTTTTTCAAATGCAAGCAATGCAGGTGGCAGTGCTCCAGGATGCCATAATTCAAACCCAGAGTTAAGGCTCTGCAGAAAGTAAGAAGTAAATAATAGTTAAAAAAAATATCTTGCAAGTAACATTATTACCAAAGGGCATATTTATGATTCTTTTTTTTTTACTAAGTGGGTAAAATGTTCTGTTACTCAGCAAAGTAGGCATGGTTGGAGAACAAATGACTAGCATAGAAAAAAAAAAAAAAAAGCATTTCCAAGAGCAACAAGTTTGCCATCTACTGTCGAAGATTCATGAAAAAATTAATACTCACATGCTTAAGCCATTGATGATATACTTCAATGATGTTAGTCTTTCTCCACCTTCCGAGGTCAAAAATATTCACCCCATACAACCATCCGCAGCTATCAGGATCCACATCAGATGACGAGAATATTGGATCCATGAAGTTGAAGTAATCTTTGTACTTTCTTCCCGGACAACAACCAGGTCCGCACCACGAATCAACAACTGCACCAGCCACTTTCTGATTGAGATTCAAGTCCCAAAGAGAAGATAAGTCACGCTGTACTACAACATCGTCGTCTAATAACACAACTTTGTCGAGATCCGGGAACAGCTGTGAGATCAACAAATATCAGAAAAATGAATCAAATTTTCATCATACGATATAAAATTATTCACCGTACTTCATGAGCTCAGAACACTCGGCAAAAGTCGAGAAATTACCACAGGTAGATAAATTCGGAGGTGGTTTAAGAGGGAGATGCTGCTGGTACTAAGGGCATCCAAGTTTCGATCTTTTTCTCTCCCTTGCTCAAAGTTTTCCATTTTCAGACTGCGGTAGTAGCGACTCCAGATCTGATGATGAATTTCTAGCATCTCCTTGACCACAACATTGACTTCATGAGACCAATCATATTGATGCAAGCCCTTGACTTCAACGACTGCAGAATATACTGGGTTCATTGCGAACCATGCATGCATGGAGGGGTACGTCTTTTTATCAGTTACAACATGAAAGACTAGTTTTTCAGGATTGCTTGATGTTTTGATAGTAGAAAAGACAACAACAGAGACAGCAAGGAGATTATCGCTTAAAAGAACCACATGGTGAAAGGAAGAGTCTGTGAGACGGTAAATGTATTGCGGCTGTGGTAATCGAGAACGTGCTGCAGCATTTACAGCATATTCTTCAGCCAAATTAAGTGAAAGGCAGTGCAGGGTCTTGGGTATACCATGAGCAGCTAAATGCCAGTATAAAGACTCATGCCACTTAGCTTCTTTTACGGTATGCTCCAACCTTGCTATCTGCATACAGAGTGGAGTTTGTTTATGAGCAAGATAAGAATGCAAAAAGAATCAAGCACATAGTTAGTCAAGCCACAAAAGTTGTAGACCAGTAAGTTTCTGCAACTCAGGTAACATATATACTGCTTACTGAAAATTCCAGAACGCAGCACGCTGTTAAGATAATTATTATAAAGATGTTCTAAACAAATATAGTTTCTTTGTAATTATATCTCTATATATGAACTTCATCAACAAATAAAGCCACTAGGATGCTGTTGCAAGAGGATAGCTTCCCCTACTGGTTGCAAGTCATGGAGTTTCTTCACCTACGTTTACCTTTTATTCCATGTTTCTGGGGGTTTTAGTCACCAACCGCATTGATGAATAAATTTGAAAAATTGCTAAATGGTCAAAGAAAACCTTGCCTTAACGCGACAAAACTAATATATTGAGAACTAGTCTTCCAGAGCTTTTATTCTGCTCTCCATTTATCCCTTTCGCATAGCTAATTAAAGAAACTATCAATTTAGTATACAGCAGCAACAAATAGATATGTCTAACTCAAAGAAGGACAAGAAGAAAATAAAACAAATATAGCATTCAGGCAGAATGGACGATATTTGGTAGAAGATGTCAGTCAAAAGCTATCAACTTACCATGGCTTTAGTCTTGAATGCAAAGGCTTTTATGTCTTTGTTCAATGCCATATCCTTTACTAGATCCTTGAATGAAAGAGGTATGGAATTTAAACTCTCCGATCTGGCAATTCCAGCTCTACCACCATTATCTTCATCTCCACTAGTGGTTGCCTCCAGCAAGGCCATTGACAGCTCTTCTCTGAGCTTTTTAACCAATATGACAGCATTATCGTGAGCAAAATACTAACATCAAATAAAATAAAACTATCTGAAAATAAATTAGGACAATCACAATGTTGTCTGCATAGGATTTAACTTTTGGTGCCCATGTTTGTTAATGGCTGTGGAAAACTCATAATTATTACAGCCACATGGTGTAGCGGTTTACACAGAATATAATCAAATTGTATTTAGTCCAACATATAAAGTGGCCTATTGCCTAATCTAACGAATGACAACTCATTCACTATTGCGCCAAACTATTATTACCCACAAATTTTCGATCTTCACCCGCGTATTTTGTTAGATAAGATGACCTGTATTAGAAAGACAACTTGTTTCTTGAGCATTTTGAAAAAAAGACACAAAGTTTACAATTTTAGATAACCTCCCCAAACTCCACCACAATCACCACTTTCAGCCACCAAGCCAGTGCTTACATGATGATGGCAAGTCTTCAAAGACTTAGCTCGACACTGTCCCTAGCATAATTCTTATAATGTGCAAATGGTGGGTGGCAGAGCTAGTAAACTGAGCCGGACAGGAAAAACTTTGGACAATGGGGACAACAAAGTGTATTTTAGGAACAAAGTATATTTTAGGAACTTCTTACTTCATCACAGAACTGCAATAATTCTTTCTTGAACATACAATATACTGAAATACAGATCACTGAATCTCATGGTTTCTTACTTAATATATATACTTTAATCTTGCCATTTTTTACTACACCACTCAGTTATTGTCATAAGTTTTCTTCCTTAATACATATGTATATGATCTTTGTAGATGGGGGGACGAATGGAGACAGGCTACTCACGTCGGGCAACTGGAGGAAAAGGTGGCCTCCTGAGTCCTGATTTCATTTTATAGTTTTTTTCGATCGTTTTTATTTGAATACTGGTAAACCTGCGAATACATATATTGTTGGGAAGAACGAGAAGTAAGCATGTGGATCGTGATGCTTTGATTGAAAATTTTCATTTCACTCGAGAAAGTATTTGAAAAAAAAAATAGGGAAGAAAGATAAACTATCTATATCTATATCTATATACTATTATAAAAGGACGATTGCTTTTGTAAAAAGCAAATGAACTACCTAAAAACCTTTTACTTTGACATATTTTATATTTTAATAATAAATTAGTAATACATTAATAATTTAATATCCATCCCATCTTATATTTTTAATTACTATATAATATTTTACCTAAAAATTCTTTACTTTGACATATTTTTAATGAAAAATTAGTAATACACTAATACTCATTATATCTTAATTTTTAATTAATAACTAATATTTAGTTAATTAAATGCAAATACATGAACAAAATATTCCACATCTCCTAAAATTTAACCACATTATTCTCGCACCATTATTGTAAAATGAACTACCTAAAAACTCCTTATTCTTTGACATAATTTTAATAGCAAATTAGTAATACATTAATATTCATCTCATCTTATATTTTTTATTAATAAATAATATTTTACCTAAAAAACCCTTATTTTGGCATATTTTTAATGACAAATTAATAATACACTAATACTTATCCTATCTTATATTTTTAATTAATAACTAATATTTAGTTAATCAATTACAAATACACAAACAAAACTTTCTATATCTCCCAAAATTCAACCACATCATTCTTGCACCATTATTGCTAAAATGAGCTACCTAAAAACACACATATTTTTATTGAAAAATTAGTAATACATTAATACACATCTCATCTTATGTTTTCAATTGATAAATAATATTTTACCTAAAAACCAACCCTTATTTTGACATATTTTAATGGCAAACTAATAACATAATAATACTCATCATATCATAGATTTTTAACTAATAACTAATATTTAGTTAATTAAATACAAATACACGAACTAAACATTTCAAATCTCTTAAAATTCAATCACAATATTCTCGCACCATTATTATTCACGAATTTGCTTTCTTCCACAAATCTCCTCAAATTGTTTTCTACCATATCTCCCAGAAAACAACGAAACATCAACCAAAATAATAAAGATTTTAAAGGATATAAATTGTTGTTCTGTATCATATTCGTAATTTTATTATAATTAGTTTTAATATTATTTTAATGATAAAATCGTAATCATATTAAATAATATTCATATACATAATATTAAATAATATTCATATACATAGGTTCTTTAAAGAAAAATGATCCATAAAAAAATAAATACTTATAAAAAAAATATTTTCAACTATTTATTTACCCAGCTACAATCTTAACAAAACTATACATAATAAATAATGTATATAATAAATAATGTCAAAGATACATACTTAACATTAATTAAGAGAAAATAGCTAAAACTTTACTGGTGAAATATATATACAATTTAATTTTTTTATTTGCAATTAGTTTTTTGAATATAATAATATGAATATCATATTGCATATATACATTAATAACTATTTTCATGATTTAATATTTAATATATAAGAAATGTAACTCGATAAATAAATAGGTAATCTCGAGTAAAATAATGAGTAATTCCTAAAAAAAATATATGGACTAAAAAAGTTCATGTGTTTATTATATTTTTAATAGAAAAATAGTAAACACAATTAATTAATAACAAAAAACTACTACATCAAAATTTTATAGTCATATATCTATGAAAAACCCAACGGTAAGGTATTCCACTGAAAACTCCAATGGATATTTCATTGGTATAGCATTGATTGAAAATATTTATTGTTTATTCCAACAGAGATCAAACTAAATTACATTGAAATTTTAGTGAGTTCAATGATTTCAATTACCATTATTTATTGTTGTTTCAATTTCCGTTGGATTTTTTTCTTTTTTTTTGGACATAATTCAAACGTGAGAAATTTTTTATTGGAATTATAAAAAAATTACTAGAAGTTAAATTAGAAAGCTAAATGCAGTGGCGAATCGAAAATAATTCATATTTGGGGAACTGTTTAGTTAATATAAAAAATACACCATCAAAGTAACATAATATCTTTACAATTTATAAGTTATACTTTTCATAATTTGTCATATTTATCATTTGTAATACATTTTTTCACACATTAATACAACCATAATAAGTTAAAAATATATATAAAAAAAGCATGATTTTTCTCAATTCGACATAAGAAAATTATCGAAAATAATAATTCTTTTAAAAATTTTAAGAAATAATAATTTTGTTTTCTTAATTTGTGAGAAAAATGATACTATATTGGTGGGACTAAAGGAATATGTTGAATTCCTAATTTCATACTTGACATTGACAAGTTCTTAGATGTAAACTAATATTTATTTGAAAGGTATCCTAGCCCCTATATGCCTAGTTGTAGTACTATTTTTCCAACTACTTTTTCTCATAGCAACAATATGACAAAAATATGTAAATAGAGATGATTACCGACAGACCCGAGCAACACGTTTATCTACACAAGCATGATAAAGAGACAAAAACGGATTTACCTTCATGTTAATTACTCCATTATCAAAAGTTATTCTTATTTAATAATAACTAATAAAACATTTTTTACCAAGATCATCTATTTTCTTTTGAGAAATGTTGTATAAACATAATATTGTACATAGGAGTAAACATAACACTTACGTTGAGTGGGACGGACCAGAAATAAAAAATTTGTATCCATTTATTAGCATTTTTTTTCATGTGTCACAACTAAAAATGTAGAGAATAAAGGTTAAATGAGTCGATCCATCATACATATAAATAAAAATAATTTACTTAAACTGTGAAAATTATATTTTATTTTTTAAAATATTTTATAATAGATAAAATTATGGGAAAATATTACGGTCCCGTTACGTAACCATTCTGTCGAGGTTTGTAACCGTCAAATATAGTTGATCTAACGATTACAAACTCTGACGGACTGTTTTCGTAAAGGGGCCGTAGCATTTCCTGTGTAGCCTAACAAAATGACACAGTAAAGGCTAAAGAATAATGAATTTACTTACCAAGGCAGCATCACTCCCGCCAAAAAGCCTCCACGTCATACACGCTGCAGCACCACGAGTACACGGTTAGTTTGCACTTATGCCCACTGAAAATCAAAAAACTACAGCACTGCCCCAACGAAAGAAAAATGAAAAAAAAAAAAAANNNAAAAAAAAAAAAAAAAAAAAGGAAAAACGAACAATAAATCAAAAACCTAGAAATTAGTACCAATTGGCGACGAGCAAAGGGCAGCGGACTCCAGAGCCAAAAGAGCAGCTCTAACAAATAGAAACGGCAAAAGCAGCCCCACCAGCAACCTCGCCGGCCGGTGAGACAATCGCCTGCCGCCTCCTTCCGCCGCCAGCGGATTCTTCCCCTTCATCCCCCAAATCCGCCGGCCGACACCGTACGCCGCGAATCTCTTAAACCCAGCCGCCGATGCACAGAGCTTCATTTCCCGACCGCCGATTTCCGCCTCTTCTTGTTGAAAAACATTCTCACCACGAGTAAATCAAACCCGATCAACTTCAGATCTCAGTAGCGGCTGGATAAGGCGCGCTTGAATTTGTGGATAATGCGAACTGGAATTATTTGTGGAAAATTGGCGCTCACTGGAACAGGAGATCGAAGCTCGGCTATTAATATATTTATATTTGTTGCGATTTGTCAAAAGGAAGAATGAGATCACGCAATCTTGTCGAACAAAAAATACGTACAATAGTGCGGAATATATATATATATATATATATATATATGTGTGTGTGTGTGTGCAGCACCAATTCCGCGTTGAATAGTATATAGATTGAGTGCAAAGTGCAAAGCCACTGTACTGTGTCTTTCATTTGTGTGGTCTCTGTGTCATTTTCTAGTGGTATTGATCGTCGAATTTATTATTTAAATCAAAAAAAAA